GGGGCATTTTTTAACGTTTTCAGTGTTACCTTTATTTATTAAATATCATGTTCTCCGCATTTAAATCATAAAATTCAATTCAACAGCAATACCACAAAATGAACTAAAAATACCATATCTGTAGAATTTCCAATACAGTCCTCACGCGGTGGAAATGCCCCCCTCCAACACACAGTGTTGCCATTGCTCGTTTTGAAATCGATGAGTTTGTTAATCAAAATTTTTTTTAAGTTTTACAAAATAGGAAATAGATAATAAAGCAAATTCTAAACTCACAATTTGGGCTTCCAGATGCCTATATTGAGTGAAGGACTACGTTATTTAAAGTTTGATGTCGCTAGTTACCGTTGTTTTATCACAATGTGAGAAACATACATACAATCATGGAGATTTTTCATTATTTAATTTTGTTAAATATAATGCAGGGCTGTACTATTTGGTGGCAACGATTCAAAAAGTGAAACGCCGCAACGTTCCAAAACGAAATGAATAGCCCTTCTGGACAATTTGTCCCTTTGGGCTAATAAAAAAGTAAAATAAATTGCTTGCAGTGAATGAATTTTTTATCTGTGTTTTTAAAAACTACATCTTATTAGATCGATTTAAATGACAATAATTTAAATTGCTAGATGACCAAGAAAATAAAATTCGTTGCATTGAAAGCATCGAAGTTGATGTGCTTTTACATTATTCAAAAAAAATTAATATTTTTGTTATATTTGTTGACTTAACTGAAATTCAAAATTAATGTAATTATTTCACTGTGTTTCCTTCCCTCTTTTGTGCAATATTTAGACAATAAGTAGCAAATCTCAAAATTAAATTCCCCAACTTATTTTTTTAAATACTTAGTTTCTTTTAAACATTATGCTTTTAGATGCTTTGTCCAAAACGAAAGTGCTTTTTCTTCTTTAGTGGCATTAAGCTTGATAGCTAGAGGAAAGTGAGACCGGATATGGAGGGCTATTCAAAGCTGTAATAGAACAAAAGCCTATAATCTGGACCTCAAAGCTACAAACTTTGTGTTGCGTTGACGCATGCGCGTAAGACCTTACAGCTGCGCATGCGCGTTTAATGTATAACGGACGGTATTCGCATAATACGTTTACACGTGCGCGTTTAATGTATAACAGACGGTATAAGCTAAAGTTATCTAATTTCAGTTAATGTTGCAGATTGCGTTGTTCCTTAATCTTCGAATTGGATTTGGCTTATTATTTTTTGCAGACTGTTAGAGCAATTTTATAAAAGTAAGCTTGAACTTTAGATAGAATTTCCGATGTTGGAGCTCCTAAAGGATCTACAAAGCGAAAGCATGTTTCGATGTCCATCAAACAAAAAGTAGAATTGCTGCAAAAAATAGATAAAGGCTTTTGATTCTCTAACCATTCCGATGTTTATCAGTTTCATGCTGCTCTGGGGGGAGGGACGATGCGGCTCGCAATGAACTGGAAGCTGATCTGTCAGCACCATTCTTATCTTCAGGGCAGATGTTCTTATTTTATTCGCCTTATAATTCATTATTAAATGTAGTATTTCATCTCGATGTACTCCATCTTTGATATGATTTAAATCAAATTCCTCGTCATTATAAATATCACGAATACACATAAAATAGTTTTCTGGTTGCAATTTTCTAATTTCAACTATGCGTAATGTATGATCTGCGCATGTGTGCGTTGAAAGAAATGCTTAAAAAGTAAAAAAATAAATATTATGCTTTTTTTTTGTAAATTTTGATACCTTTTAGATCATAATTGCTCTTTATTTCATAAATTATGGTTTCATAATTTTATAATTTCTGCATGCCATCTTACCAGATTTAAACTGATGATCTATAAACCGGAATCGCCGAAGCCCCGACGAGTCTCCGGATTAAAGACTTTTGACTGTGTTATATACCTAAGTTACGTTTTTTTTTTTCATTCATACGCATGTAATCATCATATAACTAAAAAGAGCCTTTTAGGGGGTGTTGAGTAGCAGGTCTCCCTGTTTCACACTTTAGGCAATGCTAAATTGGCTACAGTATTTAGAATCTAATGTTTTTTAATTGTAGGCAAAATCTCTTACTCTTTTACGCACTTCCCAGCAGTGCTCGTTTCAGCACTCTTTTCGAAGCTCTTTTCAATCAGTGTGTTCACTTCAGGCACACCTACAGAATTAAAACGATAAGTGCTATCTTCATAAAATTTTACTTGTTCACTCCTCTAGGCCTTAATTAGACTGTCTAACTTTTTTTTATCGAAATTCCAACTTTAAAAGGTAGTGTGCTGGAAAGAGTTACTAATGAGTGTGCCTCTGCATCATGGTTGTTGCGTCGCAGCTCGAAAGAAACATGCTCACCTGAAAATTGCAGCTTTCATTATCAGGCTTGTGAAGTCTTGAGCCAGCCTCACCCTTTGTTTTAAAAACGCAGACCGAGTTTCTTTTTTCTTAATTAATTTATGGTGGTAAGGGCCTGTACATTTTTGACCTGTGTGATACCAGCACATGGCCAATTTCTGTGCATAATTTTTTACAAAAGACTTGTTACTATTCCTTTGATTTGTTATTTCCAATAATTTGTTATTGTCTTGTGTTAGGTATTGGGAAATAATTGGCATCCCATATTTGTCTCTATTGATGTACATTTTTCATTATACATGCAGAAATAAATATGATGCCATATTTATCTCTTACCTTTTTCATTATGTATACAGAAATATTGTTAATCCTTGGGCTTTGAATTTGTGCATCAAATGTTAGCATTTTTCTATAGAGATAACACTCATGAAATAAACTTTTATTGTGTATAATTTAGTTAATTGAACATTTAATAAATACAGTACAAAGTCCAAAATCCGGACGTCCATTATCCGGAATGATCTAAAATCGACCTCAAAGCCACAATTTTTTTTTTTTTTTTTTTTTTTTTTTTTTTGTATGCTTTGCATATGCGCATTTGATTTTTAATTCCATAATAAAAGGTGTGGAGATTTTCACTTAAAAATTCCAATTCTTAATTTCCCTTGGGCACTAAATAAAATACATCGCTACGAAACAACAATCATGTAAGCATAAATTTGTGAGATTAATAATTTGGCTCTGCAGCTGAGTATCTGCTTGGCATTACATCTCAAACCGAAACATTCGCCTATTTTATATCCCTGACGCCATCCTAGCAAGTCATTATTTATTATATTTTGCTTTCAACACCACATGTTTATCAATACATGACGCTGCAGTAATAACTCATGTAGTGATGTCTAAACTTTTTTTTAATATTAGTAATTGAATAACAAGAGTAAGGCGACCTTTTCTGCTAACATTGCGCTTGGCGATGATTATAGGTTTTTTAAATGCTCTAAGAAATGTTGACGAGGAAAAAATTCAACAAAAATTTCTTGTCATATACTAAAAATACGTTTTGTTAATGAAACTCATAGGCCAAAAGATTACATTTAGTGCTATTTCAATTAAGAATAACTGGTATGTTATTCACCTTAAACCCAGAAGTGGCAGCAGAATTTAGGGAAGACACAACGTTTGGAATTTGGGGAAGCACCGAGCAGCAAAATTAAGGAATGAGAAGTTTTTTATAATTCAGGGGGGAAAGCACTGGGATCCAAAGTTTAGCCGTGGTGAAAATTTAGAACTTAGGAATGCGCTTTGTAGTAGAATTTAGAGACTGCATTAGGCGGTATCTAGCGTCGGCCCGAGATAAAGCCTTAAGTATGTATGGGAGTTTATTTATTCAGGACTCGGATTAGTTTTAAGCATGTGCAAGAAATAAACGTAGGTATAGTAAATAACTAATACAATTCAGGCTTCATTCAGTATGCAATAAGAGCAAGACAAAATTTAGCGGAACAACTTGGCTTTCGTCGCCAATCTTGTGATACACAGCCAATAATGTATAACGGATGCTATTAAGCTAGGCTAAAATTATCTTAACTGATTTTATTCTAAGGCATTTCAGTTAATGTAGCAGACTGCGTTGCTCCTTAATCTTTTAATTTGATCCTGCTTATTATTTTTTGCAGACTGTTATTATTACAGAAATTTTATAAAAATTGAGCTTGAACTTTTGATTACAGTACAAAGTCTGTATTCCGGACTCGTCGGGACTTCGGCAATTCCAGATTAGGGGTTTTTCTGGATTATAGATCATCAATTTAAATCTGGTAAGATGGCATGCAGAAATTATACAATTAAAAATATGAAACCGTAATTTATGAAATAAAGAGTAATTATGATCTTAAGGGTATAAAAATTAAAAAAAAAAAAAGCTTAATATTTATTTGTTTACTTTATTAAACATTTCTTTCAATGTAACTTTCTTCACTATTGGAAGCACGCATGGGGAAACACTTTACTGTCTTTACACGCATGTGTAAGTTTGTGGCTTTGAAGTCTGGATTAATAGATGTCCGGATTACGGACTTTGTACTGTATATCGAAAGGAGTTTCCAAGTTCTGGAGCTGCCAAAGGATCTACAAAGCAAAACCATGTTTCGATGTCCATTAAACAAAAATTGGAATTACTGCAAAAAAAATGGATAAAGGCATATCTGTCTCAAAATTATACAAGGATTTATGGCATTGGAAAGTCTACTGTATATGACATAAGAAAAAGAAACTTTTTGAATTTTTTTATGGAAGCAACTTATACAACTTACATTGAAAGAAATGTTTAATAAAGCTAACAAACAAATATTAAGCTTTTTTGTAAATTTTGATATCCTTTAGAGACATAATTGTTCTTTATTTCATAAATTACGATTTCATATTTTAATTGTATAATTTCTGCATGCCATCTTACCAGATTTAAATTGATGATGTATTATCCAGAATCGCCGAAGTCCCGACGAGTCCGGATTTCGGACTTTGTACTGTAATTAAATTTATTTTAACTTTTACTAAGAAAATTTCATTTGTGTTGGATAAAAATCTGCTTTATGTTAAAAATTTTTAATTGTAATGTTTTTAGTAATATTTTGATTTTTCCCCCCCATTAGGTAATACTGCTTTACATGATTGTGCTGAATCTGGAAGCTTGGATATATTGAAGATGCTTTTGCAACATGGCGCTAGATTTAATTATGACTCTAGTGGCACTACACCTTTATTGTCTGCAGCAGTTATTGGCCATGTAGACATAGTAGAATATTTTCTTCATGAATACCATTGTTCAAAGCTAGAAAAAATAAATGCTGTTGAATTATTAGGTGCCACATTTATGGATAAAAAACGAGACATGGTCATGGCACTTGAATGCTGGCGCCGTGCGATGGCATTACGTTATGAGGATCCGCATTGCCCTATTGAGAAACCAGAAACAAAATCACCAATAGCAGCTTATATAGATATAACTGAAGTTCGTACACTTGCTCAACTTAATGAATTGATTACTGATCCAGACAAAGTGAGAATGCAAGCATTACTTATACGAGAAAGAATTCTTGGCCCTGGTCATCCAGATACTGCTTATTATGTCAGATACAGAGGTGCTGCTTATGCAGATAATGGGAATTTTGATCGTTGCATTAAGTTGTGGATGTATGCTTTAGATGTACAGCAAAAAGTGCTTGAGCCATTGAGTCCTATGACCCAAAGTAGCTTCCTTTCATTTGCTGAGTTGTTTTCATATATGATGTCTGAAGCTTGGGCTCGGGCTAGAGGTTTTCCCGTTGTTCATTTTAGAGACTTGCTGAATGTATTTCAAAGAGCTTTGGGAGAAATAGAAGCTGCTTTAGAATCATCCCAAAATGGAGGAAAAGATTTGAATGGCACAAGCCAGTTTCATCGTACTCTCATAATTGCAATGCATTTAGTGGGACTCATGTGCCGACTGCAACCACTGCTAACTGTGGATGAAGATTTAGAGTTAAAAAGGTCTGTTTATAAACTTGTTCGAATGAATCCTCGATCCCGTAATGGCTGGACTCCTTTGCATCTTGCATGCTTCAAAGATTCCTCCTTAATTGGAAGGTATCCTGTGTTTACATTTCCTTCTCCTGAAGTTGTGGATCTGCTGCTAGAAGTTGGTGCTTGCCCTAATGCTGTAGATTATGATCATAATACGCCACTTCATGTTGCAGCAATGAACAACCCATTTGCAAAAGCAGTATTTAAAGCTCTTTTGAACCATGGCGCTCATCTTGATCTTGCTAATTCTAAAAGGAAAACGCCTCTTCACTTGGCCCAAGATACTTCTCGTTTGGATATTTATCCATTAAAATACATAAATTTACAATGTATTTGTGCCCAAGTTATTCGAAAGTCAGGAATACCCTATAAAGGACTAGTTCATAAAAAATTGGAAGCATTTCTCGATGCTCATTAAAAAGCAATGCTAACATGAATTTTGTGTTGTAATATGTGAATGAGCATCTTCTTAAGTTTTTTTAAATTTATTGCTGTCTCATTTCATGAAAAAAATTGTCAGTATTGGACCATTTGCAAGGATTTATGCATAAGTTCACAAACTTTTTTATTATCTGTTATAAAAGTAAACAAGTATTTATGTTCATGTTAAATCTTGAGTTTGGTACTTTTCTTTTGTTTCTCTTATTTTCTGTGTTATAAATGAGATGCCATCATTTAAAATGTATAAATTTACTTTATTATATTCTAAAATTGTTTTGTTTCATGGAATATTACTAACGTATTTTAGAAAGTTTTGTTTATTGGAACCAAGCATATTATGCTAGAAAAGGAATTTTGAATTATGAAAGAACTGTTAGAAAATTGTGCATGAGAAGCACTTAATGTCATCATATAACTTGAATTTCCTGCTCTTCAGTAGAATTTATTGCTTCAAAGTTTCTCGTTTTCCTTATATCCATCATTTATTTTCCCTTCCCATTCTTTCTTTTTATTTTATGTTTCATATTTTTTTATAGTGATTGTATGCTAAATAATCATCTTCCTTACTAAATTATTTCTAAAGATAAAAAGTACAGAATCTAGAAAATAGTTTTTCCTTTGTGTTCCAGATTTGATACTACCCCCTTGTAATTTTTGTCTTAATAGTACTGTATGTTCAAGTAGAAACTTATTGTGACATCATTTTACATTAATGTACTATTTCTAGTCATGCCATTGTTAATATATCGTCTTTTGTTTCTTTTGTCTTCAGTATGTAATGGGGAATTAGTTTCTTCCTTTCTGAATTAAGGAATATATTCTGTCATTTATATGTGTGTTAAAATTGTAGTTTTTGATCTAAGTAAAGTGAAGTAAATATATGTTGACTTTGATACATAATTGTTGTGATGATGACAGATGCGAGGATATGGAAAAGTGGTAAGAGCCATAATTGTAATATTCTGTGCTGTTGTAGCTTATACTTGTGACTTGTATTGTGATCTTGTGCAAAATTTCTTTTTTCAGCTCTCTAGTGGTGATTCTGCTTTATATCTCTTTACCCATATGATATTAAAATAATAAGTGTTACCGAAGTTGAGAATGCTGCAGTTTCTGAAGTTTGGGGAACTGTGTTTAATATATTTCTAAAGTTAGGCCCTATTATATATATATATATATATATATATACATACATACATACATATGTATCATTTATTTACTAAAGAAATGTTGATTATATTATCTCCTAATGTAAATTTAGTAGAAGTATCCGAAAAGAAGAAACCCATGTGTAGGAAGTTTAATTTTGAAAATTGTGTTTTAAAGTAACTTGTATGTAAATTATGAAAAAAACTTCGTACAGGGACTTGAATTTAAATCATATATATATATATATATATATAAGAAATGTAATTTTATTCTTAAGAAAGACATTTCTTGAATTCTTTAGTTATCATCACAACTTTAAGATGGAAAAAAAAAATATTTTGTTTAATCTTTTCAGTCTATTTCAAAAAGCAAGTTTTTTTTAATAATTCTGAATGCTTTGCACATAAATGGCATGCCTTGAGATTTAATTATTTAAATATTATAGTATTTTATAAATTTATTGAGTATTGAAGTATAAATGAGAAAGCATTTGAAGAGTTTGTATTTTCTTAACTTCTTGAATAATGTATTCGATTTAACATTGATATTGTTAATGTTAAGTAATTGACATTGTATGTTGCGTAATGTTAAGTAATTGGCATTGTATGTTACGTAATGTTAAGTAATTGACATTGTTAATGTGCTCTGACATTGTAATTGACATCATACTGATATTGTTAATGTAATGTTAAGTAATTGATGTTGTTAATGTATTCAATTTAACATTGTTAAGCGATCAATATCCATGAACACTCTTTCCATTTTACTGCAATGTGTGAATGTTATAAAATCAAGCATTTTAAATTAAAGCATATATTCATTGTCACTTTTTAGCAGTTTGAATAGAACAACTGCATTTGTAGGTGTAACATCAGGTAACTAATGGATTAAAATTCATAGATTGAAACTTTTTTATACTTTATTTTTTAACTATTCATTAAAAATTTCATTATTATGAGCTCATTTCACTTCACTTATTTGCTTCATTTTTCAAGACGTGTAATTGGAAAGTTTTTAATCATTAATAACTCCCAATTTTCTGTTTAAAAGAAATATATTTCTTGTACAGTCAGCCATAATTACAGCATAATTTTGATGAACACAGTAAATTAATTTTTATTGAACTGGAAGATTACTGAAAGGTTGGAAAGAATAGTCTAAAAAAAGAAGAGGGAAGAAGTATGTTTTTTCTTCCAGTTGCATTTTGGTATGTTTCCATATGTTAATTCTTATTTTAAGTTTGATTATTCTATATTTTTCCCCTCTGATATTTACAGTAGGTGATACTAATTTTTTGAGATTCTGTGTTATGTTAAATCTTATTTTAAGTTTTATTATTCTATATTTTTTCCCTCTGATACTCACGGTTAATTTACTCTGTCATTTATTTGTTTAATTTGTTAAAGATGACATCAGTAAAATTTCATTTGTATATTTTGAATGTTAAGTATTGTATATAAATAGATAGATATTTTTTCAGCACACTGTTGAGTTCTTATAAAGAAAAGGCTGCTGTATGAGTTTTACTTTCCAAGAACAGTGTTTTTGAAGTAATATGAAAATTTCTTTTAGTGATATGCTTAAGAATATATTGTGCTTGAAATTTCATAGATCTAAATTTTTAGTTAATGTTTTAATGCAAATTTTATTTGGAGGTAGAATTATTGAATTGCATACAATGTAAATTTATAAATGCAATTTAAAAGCTGTTATTAATTGTAGTTTAACTTTCTGAAACCATTTTTTGTTTTGTTGTTGTTTTGAATTTTTCGCCTGTAATTTGTTGTCAAATTAATAAATAAAAAATATAAATGTGCAAAATGTGTGAATTAAAAAATAGCACATACATACACAATTATGTTGGTTTCTTATGCAGAGTTTGTGCATTGTTATATGCTCTCAAATGTATTTTTCTTTAGCTTGAAAAATACTTTCTCTTTTATCTTGTAAGGATTTTTTACAATTTAATTAAGCATATAAATGTGTAGTCTACTATCTTAATGTTGTTAATCAGTTTGTAGAATTATTAGGTTTTCTGATGCTAGAAACGTGAAAAATGTGCGGAAACCTAACCTCTCAAAAATGCCTTCAGCATGCTTCCAATTACAACACGAAGGATTGTGGAAAAAGAAAATACATTATATACTCCCCATTTTAAGGGCAACTGGAGATGATGGTGACGAATTATCATCCATCACCTTTCAGTTCTTGAAACTCATTGGGTTATTTTGATTCTGGGGACATGAAAAATGTGCAGTGCCCTCGTAACGATTTGAACCCTGGACCACTCGAATATGCTTCCAATTGCACCATGAAGGGATGCAGGAAGGAGGGAGAAAATACCTAATAAATTGTATAGAAAAATGCCAGTTTTCTTGCAGATTAAATGAGACATGATACTGGATAAAATTTAATAAATAATTATTGAATTTTATTTATCTCATGTATTCACAGTGTTCTTTAAAATACTTTAAAAATTGTTATGTTAAATTTAATTGATGAACCTTTTCTGTAATTGTTAAATGTTTTAAAGAATGCAGTGGTGTGTACTTAAAAAAAAAAATTTTCTTCTGTAGCTTTGCATTGAAATGCCATGTATCATATCAGAGAGAAAAGAAACACGATAATTTCAAAATGAAACATAAAATAAGCAAGGCAACAATCTTGTGTTTAGCATAGATTTAGTCAAGAAACTCAATCGATTTCGAGGGCAAACAGGAACAGGTCTCTTTTTCCTCAGGAGCAAAGAAATCTGCAGTACTGGAATGCAATTGTCGTATGTATGCCCTACTACAATAAAGGGAAGGAGGAGGTTGCGGAATCTGTCGACAAAAAGAGTAGGAAACTCAATCTCTCTTGCTCAGGAGCAAAGAAATCTACAAGACTAGAATGCAATGGTCATACGTACACCCTACGGCAATCAAGCAAATGAGGAGGTAGCACAATCTATCGACTGAACGAGATAAATCTTAGAGAATTTTCACCAGTTCATTTCATGTTCAATCAAGAAGAGTCACCAACTGAAAAAGCTTTTCGAATCATTTTTGCAGACCCAAGTGAAAATTATCATTCGAACTATTATAAACTTAATTTCGGATATAAGCTTAGTATTTCTTTATACGAAACTTTAACACTGTTTTAGTTCGGTCAGTGTATCTCGAGCCACGATGACATGATATACTATAAATTCTCCAAGAATTAAAGTCAGAAAGGGAAACCATGGATTTTCTTGATAGGCGAGAAAATGACGAATATTGAACTTCTGGAGGATTTGCAATTTTGTTACAGACAGAAAGATGAAATGGAACTACGACAGGGTTATTAATGCTATTTCTAATAGCAGAATGTGTTTGATGATAAGCTGAAAATTTTTTGAAGGCTTTTATCAATGACCCCGGGAGAAAAATCTCCTCTCAACTGATCTGAAATAATTGAGTTCATTAAGAAACAAAGGCTCTGAGGAACAGAATTTGAGAGCACAAAAATAACATAATACTAAAAAGAAGCCACTTTTTATATCAAGGAAAGGAATGTTATTGTCAGATTCCGTTTCAAAAGTGAATCAGGTGGATAGATGGTTTCAAAGACGAAAATATAGTTTGTTAAATAATATGAACTTGACTGAGGGTATTACCCATAGCTAATCTTTAAATTTGGCAATATAATATTCATTTTGGAAAACAAAGGGTGTTTGATGCAGAGATTTTAGTAAGAGAAAGAAATTGTTCAATTTCGGGATGTGTGAAATGAAATTCTCGAAATCTGGTTTCATTGCTATTTAGTGCACCTTCAACTAGAACATTAGTAAACAGTGATTTAACATCAAAAGAATCCATAATGAAATGCAGGGCAGATCTTTATCGATGACTTCAAAAGAATGTTTGACGGTGTGAATATTGTTAGAAAGTAAACGTGAAAATCTGTAAACAAAATATTTGGCCAAAGGATATGATGCTTTCCTTAGTTGAAAACCATAGGTCAAAACAGATTTCCAATTTTATGGATTTTAGGAAGAGCATAGAACCTAGCAGTGGGTGGAATAAGTGATTTTTCAAACTGAGGTGGGCTTATATGAGAAGACGGAACATCTGTTTTTACTTTCGTGAGATGTGGAGTAATTTAAAGATTTTCTTTCTTTGTTTCATTATTGTTTTTATATATATATATTAAATATCACTATTTACTAATGTTCCAGTCGACGGTGCACTAAATTGTGCATAGATAATCATTAAACATAGATAAATTGTCTTCAAACTAGGCTTCGAGAATTTCATTTCACACTTAATGAAATTGAAGAGTAACTATTCCGGTACCAAGGTATCACGGACTTTGGAGACTAATAAACATATTCTACATCACTCATGTAAATAACAAAACATTTTTTTTAATCTACTTACTACACGCACAAATTTTTTGGTCATTCTGTAAGTTGTTTTGTTGCTATTTCTCAAGAAACAAAACTAATTTTAATAGTTCGTGGATAAAAGCATTAAGTAAATAAATTTAATTGAAGTATGTATAAAATACAAACTAATGTCATTTGAAATCCAACATTATCCCACCTTAAGTTTATGTGAAACAATCTACTAGAAATTTTAAACAGTGAAACTTGAAAAAAAAAATGCATTGTTTTAAACAAAAAGGTAAAAGAACTAGTTCAAATATTCATAAAGTCTAATCTTTGGATAGGCCCGAATTCTTTGTTTTCACAGATTTAACATCTTTTTGGCTATTTTCCACTAAATACACTGACTACCAATAAGTATTTGGACACCTATGCAAATGATGATATCTGCGGTCCCAAGGTACGTCCCGGACTCCGCCGGTATATATCGTGTAGGAAACAGCATCGCCTTTAGTCGCATGCAAGATGCCTTGCAGTTCGGAGCTCTCTGATTTCGAGAAAGGTATAATTATGGGGTATCACAAATGTGGCCGATCCTTAAGGGACATATCTAGCGATCTGAAGTACCCAATATCGACAGTGGCCTATGTGATTAAGAAGTGGAAGATGAGCGGTGATTGTCGGCAGACCAACGAAACTGGGAGATAGAGACCGACGAGTGCTGTACAGAGAAATTCGGAAGAACCACACACAATCAATAGCCCTCATCCGCGAGGAGTTTCAACAGGCATCTGGGAGTATTGTTTCAATGAATACCATCCGTAAGGAAGCACGTCTGCGTGGTTTTCATGGTCGTGCTGCTCGGTTAATGTGGTGCAAAGCACATCGAAATTGGACCGTAGATCAGTGGAAACGGGTTTTTTGGAGTGACAAATCAAGGTTCACCCTTTACCGTTCGGATGGCAGGGTCTGGCGTCTACCTGGAGAACGTCTCCTGCCAGAATGCATTGTGCCAACATTCAAGTTCGGCGGAGGTGGTTTTATGGTCTGGGGTGTTTCTCCTGGTATGGGCTGGGACCCTTGGTCCCCATTCATGGTAAGCTCAACTCCGATGTTTACTGCACTATTTTGGATGACAATGTCCTTCCTACGTTGTAGCAGTTTTATGGGTTGGACCACTGTTACTTTCAGGACGACAATGCCAGTTGTCATGTTTTGTACCACTAGCTGTCATACAAAGACTTGTGGAAAGTATGCCCCGGAGGGTCCACGCTGTAATTACCTCTCGTGGAGGCTCTACCAACTATCGATTTTGAATAAAGTTCGTTTTTCTTTTCTGTCAGAGGTGTCCAAATACTTATTGGTAGTCAGTGTACCCTTCAAGTATAGTAGTGAAACTGTATCATTTTTTGGATCTTCGAACCAATTGCATGAAAGTTCTAGCGAAAAAATTTGTTGCGTGGAGCATAAAAATTGCCCATTTGTAATTTTTAATCGTAGCAGTCTAACGATGTTGTCTTTCCCAGGTAATAATTCAATAACATGAACAAAAGTCCAGTTCCCAGTTTTCACTGGCTTTTGCGAAATTCATCACTAGGTGGCGCTTGCATTCTGCTACGCTTTGCTATGCATTCTCTATTTGTAATGTAGCTTGTTATTAACAAAAAGTGTATTTTATTAAAACGTGCTGCTATAAGTAATAGTAAATAGGATGGTATATTGTTGCAAGCTATACTGCAAGGTTTTTTTCCTTTAATTTTTTTTTTTTACGTTTGTATTTAAATAATTATTGCCAACATATAACTGTTGGACAGATAGCATTTCCGTCAGTTTCATTTAATACAAGTACATAATACGAAATTTCGTAAACAAAAGCCATCATCACGTAAAATTTTAAAGCTTTAAAATTCTTTTGATATGTTTCTTTCCCTCAGTTTTTGCATACAAACAAGCTTCTGAATATGTGTGTGTTAAGCTTCATATCAGTTTTTCATCTTCCTGAAATAAATACATCATAATTTTTTATCATACTGGTGATAATCTATTTTCTGCATAAATGATATTTTAACCCGTCATATATATATAGTATACATTAGCATTTCGTATAAAATATATACATATATGCATTCTTAAATTTTAATTGCATTAAATTCCTATATATCTATATACATATGCATTTAAATATATATGTTAAATGCATTAAATATATATATGCATGAATATAAATATATTATTACTTTTTAGCTCTCGTATTTGTTATCTTTCATCCAGAAACATTTGAATGCTGTCTGTACTAGCTTCAAAATTTTAAAGTGTAAATCTCATTTTAATTAGTGTGACGTATCAATATGCTGTGCATGAATTTGTGTCTACCTAGTTGAGTGTTTTGTGGTTGCACTTGGAAGTAATAGAGATTCATGTTGAATCCTTATATATATATAAAATTAATAGAGGTAATACTTTTTGTTTTAGGGAA